TGGTTTAGCCCCAGCAAAAAAGCAACACGAAGACTCCGCGACGTGTCTCTTCGGACTCCTCTTGAAGGCAAAAATACTTCTCATCTCCTCACACGATGGAAGTCCTTCGCCTTTCTCATGTAACAACACCATTAAACCGATTATCTTCTTCCAACTATTCGGAGTGATTTGGCACAAGGGTAACCCCCAACTTCGGAGGTATTCCGTAATAAGGTTGGGCAACGGGAACCTCAATCCCGACCTCAAACTCTCTGCAAAGATACCCACGCAACCAGGAGGCGGACTTGTAATCCTTTCTCCGGGGTACGGGGCAAAAACCTTCACCGAAGGAGGAATTCTCACCTGCTCCCGCAACAGAACCACGTCGGCGTCGGTTAAAATGCTGGGTTCACCCTCAAAATCCACCTGCGGGTCAGGCCACTTTTTCACCGGCCTCCTCCAATGGGGCACCTCGAGATCGGCGGCGTTCTGCTCCACAACCGCGTCGCCATCCTCATCATTCAACCTGATATCCAAATGCTTTACCAACGACGGGTCCCATCGGTGATATTCGAAGGCCAACTCCACCAGTTCCGAATCGTGATAAACATCCAATGGAACCGACTCCGTACTCGAGGAACTAGCCACCGCCTTACCCTTACCTTTTGACGCCATCGTACCACAGAACACAACACAAAAGAAATGAACAAAGAATCAAAGAAGAAGCTTACCACGAATCCGGAAATATTCAGCGCACAAGAAACAACTCTCAAGCTCAGAAAGGATTTCTACAACAGGATTATCGAACACAAAAATTCGAGAATGAAAGCACAGGTGAAGAAAGTTCAATCAGACGCTGCGAAACTCTATTTATAATTGCCGATTCACGACCGTTAGAGACTTTAATTAGGGGCGCGTAAAACCGACGCGACCCCTAATTCCAATCGACACCACCTCTTCGCCTAACAGGCACCTACAAATACACGTGGCGTCCTATTAAAGTCGACCGTTACCTCATTTAAGGTCATTACGGCGCAACCATTCACTCACATTAAATTGACCGTTACGACTGTTCGTCTTTTTCCTGCCCAAGCTGCCTGCAAGTTACGCAAATTTTACCAAGTGTCTTCACCTCGGCATACAGTCTACACTTCGGACAGATGATCCACTTCGGTTACATCAGTAGATCGACCGAAGATGACCACCGAACACCATAGACCACATCCTACCGCCGACTTCTTGCCGATCCAGGGTCTCTAAATACCTGGTATATTGCAGCATCAACGACCATCACTCCGTATGCCCATCGATGTTGGGGGCCTCTCTGTTATTATCCGACTCGGCAAGACACTGTTAAGAGGTTTTAAGCATGCTATTAAATGCGATTAACTGTTAAACCGACGTGAATCAGAACCACACCGATCTGCACAAAAGAACCGGTCTGAACCACCAAAGACCG